GTCTGGAGTGCTGGTCACTGGGAGATGGTCACCCCCACCTGGCCAGGCCTCACTGGAGTCTCACTGCACACCCCACCCTGTCCCAGGAAGCCACGCCTCACCTTCTCCATCTCATCCAGGAAGGCATCGGTCAGATCACGAGGTGGCTGGGCCGGGTCCCGGCTCTCCCGGTGGTCGGTGACCAGCTCATCCAGCATGTCCATGAAGGCCCTCTGTCCTGAGAGGATCTTGTTGGCTAACCCCGGGATGTTCAGAAGCACAGGGATTGCATCCAGCACCTGTGCTGACACACCAGGAGCTCGGGGTCCCGCCTGTGCTCAGGGGACACAGTCAAAGTGCCCGGAACCTCTAGGGTCCCGGAGGCTGCCTTCACTCTCCTACAGCCCACCGTGGAACGTCCTTTCTCCAAAGCCCCTAATACAAACCTGCCCCTCCTTGGGAAGCCTGTTCAGTTGAGCAGGGAGGCGGCCTCCTCCTGGAAGCTCTCCCAGCCTGCGCTCTCCACCCTCTCCGCCACTCTTCTTCCCAAGTCCCTTGCACCTATCTCAGGTGGCTTGACTCTTCCTTCACTCCGGACTCCATCAGCCCCAAGATCTTGAGGAAGGTCCAGTCGTACTGGAAGCGGCGCCCTTGCGTCAGGGAGCGATGGCATTGCTCACCGCTTTGTTCAGGCGGTCTACCGGGCTGAAGGGGCGTCCTGGTAGGAGGGTGTAGGATCACAGGCGTCCCTTGGCCCCAGTTCTCACCGGCCTGGCCTTCGAACGTGGCGCAGAGGTAGGCTGCCTCCTGGGTCACCCACTGCTCCAGAGACTTCTTGTCCAGATCGAAGTTGCGCAGTGTGGACAAGGAGCGCGCCAGGATCACACCTGGGGGGCGCGGGACGGTGGGCATGGCTGTAGGTCCAGTTGCGCCAAGACCCCATCCCGGAACAGGCTCCGCCCACACGTGCTCTGAAGCCAGGCTCCATCCCCGCTCCGCCCCACCCCTGCCTGGGACAAGCCCCGCCCCACCCAGGATAGGCTCCACCCCCGCCCATCTCGTCCCTGGACAAGCCCTGCCCCTTCCCTAGCCGCAACTCTTGATATTGCTTAGTTCACACACACAAACCCCACACGCCACCGTGGTGGAAGTTGCATGTGTCACACTAGTTGACTTTTCAGAAGCGGTCCCTGTACCCGCGGTGACTTGCTTTGGGCGTGGCTCGAAGCCGAGGTACGCAGAGGTGGGCACGTATGGGCGATCAGTACCAGTGCCTTGCGTCCTGGAGGCGGTGCCTCAGCTGCAGACCAAGGGCAGGGCGGGTGTCAGACCCAGACTCCAAGGCGGCCCACTGGGTTACCATCAGCAGGTCAAGGATGAAAAGTAACCTGGAGACCTCTGGATCACACCCTCTCTAGCTGGATCCCACCACCTAGTTTTGATTTGCAAGTCACCCAAGTGGTCCGTTAACCCCAGGAAGCATCTCAAACAGAAAAAGTTCAAACAGTTCAAACAGAAAAAGGGGACCGTGAATGGTTTAAAATTAAGAAATATGTGTGCCAAGATTGTATTATCTCACTATACTTGTTCAATCTGCGTGCTGAGCAATTAGTCTGAGAAACTGTATTATATGCAG